CCTCATTTTGTCTGTCATAGTTGACGTGTACCTATGATGAAAATTACAGGCCTCTCTCATCTTTTTAAGTGGGAGAACTTGCACAATTGGTGGCTGACTAAATACTTTTTTCCCCCACTGTATGTGGTTGGTATACAACTGTGATATGTGGTTGTCTCGCCTGGCTATCTTGAGATGAATGCACTAGCTGTGGGTCGCTCTGGATGGGAGCATCTGCTAAATGACTAAATTGTAATGTAAATATAGTGCTATGTATATTTACATTACCTTCAGAAAGTATTCATACCCCTTGACTTATTCCACATTTTTTGTGTTACAGCCTGAATTCAAAATGGATTATATTGATACTTTTTCTCACCCATCTACACACAACACCCCATAATGACAAAGTGAAACATGTTTTTAGAAATGTTTGCAAATGTATTGAAAATGAAATACAGAAATATCTCATTGACATAAGTATTCACATCCCTGAGTCAATACTTTGTAGAAGCACCTTTGGCAGCAATTACAGCTGTTAGTCTTTCTGGGTAAGTCTCTGGATTGTGCAACATTTGCCCATAATTCTGTTTAAAATTCTTCAAGCTGGTTGTTGATCATTGCTAAACAATCATTTTAATTTCTTGCCATCGATTTTCAAGTAGATTTAAGTCAAAACTATAACTAGGCCACTGTCTTCTTGGTAAGCAACTCCAGTGTAGATTTGGCCTTGTGTTTTAGGTTATTGTCCCACTGAAAGGTGTATTCATCTCCCAGTGTCTGGTGGAAAGCAGACTGTACCAGGTTTTCATGTAGGATTTTGCCTGTGCTTAGGCCCATTCCGTTTAATTTTTATCCTGAAAAACTCCCCAGTCCTTAATGATTACAAGCATACCCATATGATGCAGCCCCCACTTTGCTTGAAAATATGGAGTGGTACTCAGTGATGTATTTTACTGGATTTGCCCCAAACATAACACTTTGTAGTCAGGACAAAAAGTTGCAGTATTACTTTAGTGCCTTGTTGCAAACAGGATGCATGATTTGGAATATTTTTATTCTGTAGAGGCTTACAGTCACCATTGGCCTCATGGTGAAATCCATGAGCGGTTTCCTTCCTCTCCGGCACCTGAGTTAGTGTATTGATACACCATCCAACTTTAAAGTAATAACTTTAAGTAATAACCATGCTCAAAGGGATATTCAATGTCTGCTTTTTTTCTACCAATAGGTGCCCTTCTTTGCGAGGCATTGGAAAACCTCCCTGGTCTTTGTGGTTGAATCTGTGTTTGAAATTCACTGCTCGACTGAGGGACCTTACAGATAATTGTATGTGTGGGGTACAGAGATGAGGTAGTCGTTCAAAAATCATGTTAAACACTATTATTGCACACAGAGTCCATGCAACTTATGTGACTTAAGCTCATTTTTACTCCTGAACTTATTTGCCATAACAAAGGGGTTGAATACTTATTGACTCAAGACATTTCAGCTTTAACATTTTTATTAATTTGTAAAAATTTTGCAAAACATAATTCCACTTTGACATTATGTGGTATTGTGTGTAGGCCAGTGACAAAAATCTCAATTTAATCCATTTTAAATTCAGGCTGTAACAACAAAATGTGGAAAAAGTCAGGGTGTGTGAATACTTTCTGATGGCACTGTATGTATATTATGCATTTTATTTGTATTGTTTCCTGTTTGGACCCCAGGAAGAGTAGCCACTGCCTCGACAGCAGCTGGGGGTCCAAATAACTACTAAATAATTATGTTCCGACCCCCTGACCATCCGCTCTGACAAAAGTTGCCTACCTCTGCCCTAAAATAAGCAGCAGTTGGGGTTTTGGCATAAAGGAAATAAGCCTTTCCAGAGGTACTACCCTCTATTGACCTACCAGAGCTACTTCAAGCAGAAAGCAGTTCACCAAAATGCTGCACTCTGACCATAGACCAGGGGTGTCAAACGTCCGGGTTTAATCCGGCCCGCGAGATGATTTTGAAAAGAAAATAAAAAATTTTTCTTTTTTCTTTTTATAAGTATAAAAATGCGCTGCAATTTTTCTATAAAATAAACTGCTGTTCCAATTGCGTCCACTGGATGGCGCAATAGCAATTGTGTTAAGCAAGCAAACTGTTTATACCAGGGCAGAGCAAGTAGGTCAAGCACGTGCAGCCAATGAGCTACTTTGTTTTGCCCGCGATATTTATTACGGCTTCTACTTTTAACATTATGTGCTTTGGCACTCACATTGCCCCAATATGTCTCTGTCAAAAAAGAGAAAAGTGGACGCAGAGTGCAGAGTGTTCCAAGAAAAATGGTCATCCTATTTATTCACGGAATTGAATGGGAAAGCTGTATGTTTGGTGTGTTCAGAGCATGTTGCAGTGCTGAAAGAATATAACCTTCGTCGCCACTATGTGAGTCTTCATGCCGACAAATATGACAACTTTCAAGGACAGCGGAGATGAGAGAAGGTGAATGAACTGTTGGCGGGTCTGAAGAAACAGCAGTCTGTGTTTACTCACAGCCGAGACATCAGTGACGCTGCAGTGAAAGCTAGCTACCTCATTGCTAATGAAATCGCAGTGGCTTCAAAACCATTTAGTGAGGGTGAATTTGTAAAAACATGCATGATGAAGGCAGCGGAGATTGTGTGCCCTGAAAAGCGGGAGGCTTTTGCAAATATCAGCCTGACAAGAAACACAGTTGCAGACAGGATTTCCGATCTTTCAGTGGATTTGGACAGCCAGTTGAAGCAAAAAGTAAAGTCATTTATTGCGTTTTCGGTTGCAATTGATGAAAGCACGGACATTACAGATGTTGCACAACTGGCCATTTTTTCATCCGCGGAGTTGATGACACATTGACCGTCACCGAGGAGTTCGTGGAGTTGGTGCCGATGACAGATACAACGACAGCAGCTGATATTTTTACCGCACTCGTCGGCGCGCTGGACAGGGTCGGAGTGGACTGGTCCCACGCTGTCAGCCTGGCTACAGATGGTGCGCCCTCAATGATCGGGAAAAAAGCAGGCGTTGTGACAAAGTTCAGAGAGAAAGTGCAATCTGCAAATGGAGGACGTGATTTTTTGACATTTCACTGTATTTTGCACCAGGAGGCTTTGTGTTGCAAGTCATTAAAGATGGATAATGTCATGAAGGTGGTCATCCAAACTGTTAATTTCATCCGATCCAGAAGCCTGAATCACCGTCAGTTTGACAGCCTTCTCAGAGAGAAAGACCACATCTATGGCCTGCCATACCACACTGAGGTAAGATGGTTAAGCCGAGGTGCTGTGCTGAGGCGTTTCTTTGATTTACGAGAAGAAATTGAACAGTTCATGGAAGAAAAGGGCAAACCAGTGTTAGAATTTCATTCTGCAGAATGGATGCCGGACCTTGCATTTATGGTGGATGTTACAGAGCACCTGAATAACTTGAACAAACAGCTGCAAGGGCGCAACAAAGTTGTCACGCAGTATTATGACAGCATACGTTCTTTCAAGTTGAAGCTGTCATTGTGGGAGACGCAACTTGCCGGTGGTGATGCAGCTCACTTCCCCTGTCTGAAAAATGTGTGCGCGACCCAACATGTGGCAGACATGAAGCGGTTCAAAGATAAAATAACGGGACTGTTACGGGAGTTTGAGCAACGCTTTCAGATTTATGTTTATATATTTTTATGTTGATGTGCTATTGTTTTTCATTGATTTTATTTTATGTGTATATTTAACCTATTCTTGACTCTGTGGTTCTTGCACTTGTTTGGGGAACAGGATTTCATTATTTTTTATCTACATTTCTGCCTGAGAAATGACACCCTGATATAGTTCTGTAATCTGTGATATACTTCTGTGAATCACTGAGGCATTGTGTGTTTGTGTGTTCTTTGTCCTCAGAACTTTCAAATAACTTGAGGTGTTTTATGATTAATAGTGATGTTGTGCTTTTGGACACTGTCCTCAGGCTCCAGCTTTATGTTTTTATGTTTTTATGTTGATGTGCTATTGTTTTTAATTGATTTTATTTTATTTGTATATTTAACCTATTCTTGACTCTGTGGTTCTTGCACTTGTTTGGGGAACAGGATTTCATTATTTTTATCTACATTTCTGCCTGAGAAATGACACCCTGATATAGTTCTGTGATCTGTGAAACAGTTCTGTTAATCACTGAGGCATTGTGTGTTTGTGTGTTCTTTTTCTTTAGAATTTTCAAATAAACTTGACGTGTTTTATGATTAATAGTGATGTTGTGCTTGTACTATTTTGGACACACTGTCCTCAGGCTCCAGCTTTATGTTGTATGTTGATCGAATTAAAACAAAGAAAACAATCTGAAGTTGTTGTTTTTAAGTTATATATACCATGATTTTTCCGGTCCGGCCCACTTGGGAATAGATTTTCCTCCATGTGGCCCCTGAGCTAAAATGAGTTTGACACCCCTGCCATAGACCGTAGCTTTTGACCTTATGGAATCAAAATGTAAGACGAACTTGTAAGAATAACTTGAAACAAAGGACCTTTTCACATTGAGGTTGACGTCATGCTAATGATAGAAAGCTGATGACTAATGGATCCCGTTAACAGAGATTAGCTTTAAGATCAAGTTTTTATTAATAATATAGATCCTTATTTGGCTGGTAGCAGTTGATTAAAACATGATACAAAGAAAAATATTGAATATCCATTTGACACATTTTCACACTCTTCATGCCCCCTAATAAAATAATAAACTCCTTTTAACTTTAGAAAGTTCATACTGTACAAATTAAGAATCAACACAGAAACGAATCATGCAAAATGTCTATTCTGGGTACTTCCACTCTAGAGTCCTCCTGGGTCCTCCTTGGCATGGTCCCAGATCAGTTTGTGCTCTTGCCTACTCCATTACTGTTATTGTCAAGCCCAACATGACGAGTTGGCAAGATAGCAGAAACAGACTGGCACCTAGGCTAGGTCCTCTTACTTTGCTGGTTCCTCTGATGGCGATGTCTGGTGGTGGCTATCCTATCTGTCCTATCTGTCCCCTGTGGTGGAGTTGACGTACTCAGGGGCATTGTCGTCCGTCATGGGGAACACCCAGGTGTTGCCGTTGGTGGGGCCGCAACAGGTGGAGCTGCAAGTGGGGTTACAGGTGGCTGTGAGTCGGCGCAGGTACTCTGCGTGGACAGGCTTGTGGCTTTGCAGCACCCGGATGGCCTCGTCGATCTTGAACCACTTCCGTTTCCTACCTGAAAGAGGTACAGCAGAGAGAGAGAAAGAGAGGTCAGAGGGCTGTATTAACCTCTTAAACTGACGCCCTCTGGTGGCAATTATAAACGATGCATATTATTGTATACTACCCTCATAAAGTACATTTCAGTATCAAAACTATCAACCTACAAACACATGCTTAGTGCTGTGTGTGTGTGTGGGGGGGGGGGGGGGGGGGGGTTAAACAAACAAAACAAAACAAAATTACCCACACACACACAGCAACGTGCCATGCTTTCATTTTCCATCTTACAGGAATGATACAGAGTGCCTTCAGAAAGTATTCACACCCCTTAACTTTTTACACATTTTGTTGTGTTACAAAGTGGGATTAAAATGTATTTAATTGTCATTTTTTGTCAACAATCTACACAAAATTTGAAATTGTATTTATGGAAAGTAAAACACTAATATATCTTGATTAGATAAGTATTCAACCCCGAGTCAATACATGTTCGAATCACGTTGGGCAGTGTTTACAGCTGAGAGTCTTTCTTGGTAATTCTCTAAGTGCTTTGCACACCTGGATTTTACAATATTTGCCGAATATTCTTTACAAAAATTATTCAAGTTCTGTCAAGTTGGTTGTTGATCATTGCTAGACAGCCATTTTCAAGTCTTGCCATAGTTTTTCAAGCCCATTTAAGGCAAAACTGTAACTAGGTCACTCAGGAACATTCAAGGTAGTCTTGGTAAGCAACTCCAGTGTATATTTGGCCTTGAGTTTTAGGTTATTGTCCTGCTGAAAGGTGAATTTGTCTCCTAGTGTCTGTTGGAAAGCAGACTGAACTAAGTTTTCCTCTAGGATTTTGCCTGTGCTTAGTTCCGTTCCATTTCTTTTCATCCTAAAAACTCCCTAGTCCTTGCAGATGACAAGCATACCCATAACATGATGCTGCCACCACCATGCTTGAAAATATGAAGAGTGGTACTCAGTGTTGTGTTGGATTTGCACACAGAGTGAGCAAATGTTATGTGACTTGTTAAGCACATTTTTGCTCCTGAGCTTATTTAGACTTGCCATAACAAAAGAGTTGAATACTTATTGACTCAAGACATTTCAGCTTTAAATGTGTTATTAATTTGTAAACATTTCTAAAAACCCAATTCCACATTGTGTGTAGATCAGTGACTCAACATCTCAATTTAATCACTTTTAAATTCAGGGTTTAACACAACAAAATCTGGAAAGAGTCAAGGGGTGTGAATAATCTCTGAAGGCATATGAGGAGAAAGTTGAAGTCTCTACCTATCCATTGATGTAAATATATCCCCTGTCTGATTCCCAGTTCATCCACGAGATAGCAATAGGAGATCACATGATGTCTCTTGGCCACTTGAAACCAGTTGCGTCTGGTTTGGGTAGTGAGTCACTGTGCCAAAATGGCTGAATGGATTTTCATGCCTGACATCTTAAAATGACCTTAACAATCAGGGCTTTCAAGTTATGGAGTTTGCGTTTTTGAAATAAGACACAGACAGGTGAGGAAACATATTTTTCCATTCACTTTTCCTTTTGTAAACAATGAGCTAGATCAATGGTGCATGTGGAGGATGTATACAAGGATGTTCTTATGACATTGCCAGCAGTAAGATTTGAGTTCGATTTCTAAAAAGGACTGTAGCTTTCAAATGATGTCGCCGGATCCTGTACCGGGTCCAAAACAACCACTCAGAGTTTAGCAGGTTAACAGAGTAATATGATCCAAAATATTCATCCCCCTTGCCGTTTTTCCAATTTTGTTGCATTACAACCTGTAATTTAAATGGATTTTTATTTGGATTTCAGGTAATGGACATACACAAAATAGTCCAAATTGGTGAAGTGAAATGAAAAAAATAACTTGTTTCAAAAAATTCTAAAAAATAAATATTGGAAAAGTGGTGCGTGCATATGTATTCACCCCCTTTGCTATGAAGCCCCTAAATAAGATCTGGTACAACCAATTACCTTCAGAAGTCACATAATTAGTTAAATAAAGTCCACCTGTGTGCAATCTAAGTGTCACATGATCTGTCAAATGATCTCAGTATATATACACCTGTTCTGAAAGGCCCCAGAGTCTGCAACACCACTAAGCAAGGGGCACCACCAAGCAAGCAGCACCATGAAGACCAAGGAGCTCTCCAAACAGGTCAGGGACAAAGTTGTGGAGAAGTACAGATCAGGGTTGGGTTATAAAAAAATATCAGAAACTTTGAACATCCCACGGAGCACCATTAATTCCATTCTTAAAAAATGGAAAGAATATGGCACCACAACAAACCTGCCAAGAGAGGGTCGCCCACCAAAACTCACGAACCAGGCAAGGAGGGAATTAATCAGAGGCAACAAAGAGACCAAAGATAACCCTGTATATATATTTTCTGTTGTATTTTTGACTTTATGTTTTGTTTTACCCCATATGTAACTCTGTGTTGTTGTTTTTATCGCACTGCTTTAAATAAAATTAAAATAAAACCCTGAAGGAGCTGCAAAGCTCCACAGCGGAGATTGGAGTATCTGTCCATAGGATCACTTTAAGCCGTACACTCCACAGAGCTGGGCTTTACGGAAGAGTGGCCAGAAAAAAGCCATTGCTTAAAGAAAAACATAAGCAAACACGTTTGGTGTTCGCCAAAAGGCATGTGGGAGACTCCCCAAACATATGGAAGAAGGTACTCTGGTCAGATGAGACTAAAATTGAGCTTTTTGGCCATCAAGGAAAACGCTGTCTGGCGCAAACCAACACCTCTCATCACCCCGAGAACACCATCCCCACAGTGAAGCATGGTGCTGGCAGCATCATGCTGTGGGGATGTTTTTCATCGGCAGAGACTGGGAAACTGGTCAGAATTGAAGGAATGATGGATGGCGCTAAATACAGAGAAATTCTTGAGGGAAACCTGTTTCAGTCTTCCAGAGATTTGAGACTGGGACGGAGGTTCACCTTCCAGCAGGACAATGACCCTAAGCATACTGCTAAAGCAACACTCGAGTGGTTTAAGGGGGAAACATTTAAATGTCTTGGAATGGCCTAGTCAACGCCCAGACCTCAATCCAATTGAGATTCTGTGGTATGATTTAAAGATTGCTGTACACCAGCGGAATCCATCCAACTTGAAGGAGCTGCAGCAGTTTTGCCTTGAAGAATGGGCAAAAATCCCAGTGGCTAGATGTGTCAAGCTTATAGAGACATACCACAAGAGACTTGCAGCTGTAATTGCTGGAAAAGGTTGCTCTACAAAGTATTGACTTTGGGGGGGGGGGGGGTTGAATAGTTATGCACGCTCAAGTTCTGTTTATTTGTCTTATTTCTTGTTTGTTTCACAAGAAAAAATATTTTGCATCTTCAAAGTGGTAGGCATGTTGTGTAAATCAAAATGATACAACCCCCCACAAAATCCATTTTAATTTCAGGTTGTAAGGCAACAAAATAGGAAAAATGCCAAGGAGGGTGAATACTTTTGCAAGCCACTGTATAAAACGATTCTCAGCTTTTGTACTAAGCCAACAATGACTTCTGTCATGTTGTTTGTTTTTCCCTGATTGCCTGAATGTATATTACATTGTATTAGGAACTAATCAAAACTATCCTTAAAGTAGGCCTTTGTTACTGTAACGGATGCCATGTGACATTCAGGAAGTGTTTTTACTTATCTGCTTTTGTTGGACTTCCAAATTAGCATATCAACATGGAAACACTGGCTAAACCTCTGTACGCCGCTACACATTGTCCCCACCCCTTCAAACCAACCAGCTCTGAAATACATTTTCAGCAACACCACTGAATGTGATACAACTGGACATTTCTGTCATTTCTCCTGTGGTGTTTATGAAGCTTCTCACCAAAGCCTCGGTATAAAGAGTTCCCATAAAAAACTTCTGTCTGGTTACCTGTCAGTTAACATTCTTTATACATCTCTTCAAAACCACTTTCTCCTGGCCTCCAAATGCTAGCCATATTTTATAATTCAAGTATTTTGTAAAAGGCATTCAAAGTGCCCTCTGACATTAAAATGGGTTACTGAGGGGGGAGTAGAGGTGTGTGTGTGTGTGTTGGGGGGGGGGGGGGGGGGGGGGTGCACTAACCACTGAGGTACTCCGCGAGCGCTAGCCCTGGAGGAGAAGGTTAGTGTAACTTGTAAGACAAGCCCATAAATGTAGAGCCTGACCAAGCACAGTCCTGGGCCTTGTATAGGGCAAGAGAGGACGGAGGGAGGGGGCGACAGTGCGGGTAGTGACGAAGACTGGAAAACAACTGTGCACAGCAAATATGCATGCCCCTCGTGAACAGACCTGAATTCTATTTATATGGGTGAAGGGAATGAAAGATCAGCACATTTTTCAGACCGGCTACAAATAGTTCACATTTTGAGTTACAGGGTCCCTTGTCAAACGTTATATTTTAAACACCGGCTACCGCATCCTAAACCAATAATGGTGATAATTTCTGGGATCTAGTCCACATCTTAACATGTATAACGTGTCTAGTTAGCTAAGACAGTTTGGTGTTTTCTACTATACAATATTTACTTGACACTAATTTGCACAGATACCACATATTTTAGTTACAGAACATGGAAAATGTCTTCATGTAAATATTACACATATACAATAAATGTACAAGTAACTTACTCAAAACAGAATTTGGCCAATTTCATCTCATTATAATTTGATACACACTTTATGCAAACTAAGTATCAAAACATAAGTCGACATTAAATACTGTTTTTTCAAACCTTTCTTCAAATGCAACCATTTTATTTTCACATCCAGCAATATGCTGACATTACTGAAGTTCAACAGGTGTTTGACATAGAAGTGATGATGGTGTGAAAACAACTGACAGAATTTTTTCAGTCAATATATCCAGCAGGTCAGAGGTCAGGTGGCTAGGGACGTATTACTGTAAACATGGACGTGTCCCTCGGCCAGTATCCCAAGTGACAACAGAGACCATCTGTCAGTCTGTCTGCTGTCTGTTTGGTCCTCTCTCATGTTTTACAAGCTGTCTCCTGCCAACTAAACTGAGGTCAGCATCTATACGAGTCATTTTAACTCCTTTCAATGCTGAGATTTACAATTTAGACTTTTGATGGATTGGAACATCTGTCAATAGTGCAGTCAGTAGATACAAAATCAATGATTATTTGGCACTTATAATTGTTTGTAATACATTAAAAGATAACAAAGACACATACAGAATTTGTTATGTACAGTAGCCACTTTAGGAACATGTCTCATCTGCTCCACTTTGATGTTCCACAGATCCACCCAGGAGAGAACAGTGATGTGCATGTGACCTATGCAAATCGCTCGTAAATAAAATTGATCAAATTCATGGTTCAGCAGCTTGAAATGCAAAGAACAGTCCTCAAAACTCATTTCACGGCCCTGACTGCTTAGGAGATCAAAAACGTTTTGTTTCGTGAGGCACAAGTGTGTTTGTGTGTTCCAATGTTTTGATGTCAACATCACAGACTGGGAGAGTGAAAGGGGCCCGGGGTGTGAGAGAGATGTAGGTGTAATAAGAAAAGGTTGTTTGTCTAAATTTCTCAGAAGTTCCCAGTTTCCCACCAATTGTGTCGGAGAGGAAATGCTTAGATGAAAGATGAGCATAAAGGTCTAAAGAGATGTGGGAAAATAGTGCTCCCTAACCAGATGTCTTCGTGTACAGTAGAAGCCTACCGATGTTGACAGAATCCTCCCAGTCCTCCAAGGTCTCTGTCACAGTCAGGACATAGACGTATGTCCTGTGTTTCCTGTCCTGGTTGTGCTACAGGGACAGACAAACAGACAGACTGCTTCATATCATAATAATACCTTTATACAGTGTTTCTGTATTGCATGCAGGGCTTTAGAATTATGTGGTGTGGTGTGGTGTGGTGTGTGGTATTCTCAGCTGGGACCCCATTTTTTGGCCTGAATTTCAACCGACCCCACCCCAGCCCAAATCTAATGACACAACCTTAAAATCCATAAATGTCTATTTACATCAACAAATAACCTTCAATTCATTACATTTGTCTCTCGTATCAAAAATAACCAATAAATAAATTTACTCAATAAAATACATTTACTAAATCTGTACTCTACATTTTCTGTTCCCTAAATATAATTTCTTATGTGGCGACCCCACTGCAATTACCCCAGGGGGTCGCGACCACAACTTTGAATATCACTGGTCTAAGGTATGAGGAAGTAGGGCTTAATAATAATGTTGTAATGAGAGCAATGTTTAGATATGATGTGATACATGCTATGTAATATACAGTGCTATGCTACAGTGTGCTATGACATGATTATTGACGGTTTGTGAGGCTTACCTCAAAAACCCCCAGTAGCCTGCCAAGTTTTCCCTTTACACCAGCCTGGACAGTGACACACACAGACAGATTACAACAAAGGACAGTCAGCTAGTGTATAAACACCAGTATAAAACCAATACATTCCCACATCCTACATTACAAGACAGAATCACTTTTAAACGTTGTTAGAGCGGATATCATGTAGTGCACAGAGAGCTCTACTCTTCTGTTAAATCAACTTCAGCAAGACAATTATTTTCAGAAAACAGAATCAAATTCTACTAAATGTAAATGTAGCAGATGGAGATCTGTGAAACTGATTCCTCAGCCTGAAGTGTCCCCACATGCGCTGCTGAATAGCTAGCTAGTACGACTGGGTAAGACGCTTCAGGAGGGCAGTCACGTGCGTTTGCGAGACAGAGGTCCTGAGTTCGAGCCTCGGTATGAGCTGAATCAGGGGGAAGTGGTCCTCTCTAAGTAAGCAGTGTGACATCCTTTACAATGGTGCCATGACCTGGATCTGCAGTTTTGCTCAGCTCAACACTGGGGTCGCTGTGGAGTGAGATTGGGGGTAAATGTAGCAGATGGGAATCTGTGAAACTCACCCCTCTGCCTGAAGTGTCCCTACTTGCACTATGGAATAGCTAGCTTTTCAGTGGTGCTGCTGAGTAAGACATTTCATGAGGGCGGTCATGTGTTTGCGAGGCAGAGGTCCTGGGTTCGAGCCTCGGTAAGAGCAGAATCAGGGAGAAGTGGTACTTACTAAGCAAGGGGCGTGACATGTTTTACATTTCACTGTTGTATTTGGCGCATGTGGAAAATAAAATGTGATTTGATTTGAAATAGCCTACATTTATTTAATTGATGATAGATAACTAAGACATCACAGATTATAACAAATAAAAAGGAATCCATGTATCGTGATATTCACAAGCAAGGAATGTGCTCTTAAAGAATGTGCTTGTTTGGTAAGGCAGATATGTTTGACGTCAAACAATGACAATAGGTTTGACAGTACCCTACCCTCACCCCCTGCAAAAGCCGGATGGGAACATCGACTGACTGTGGGATATTTCCATGCCGGGACAGAATTCCAGCAGACTAGCCAAAGGGGAATACCATGTCTCTGCTCCCATACAACTCAGTCTCAGCATTGCCCACGATGAGGACTGCATGTACAGTGCATTCGGAAAGTATTCAGACCCCTTGACTTTTTCCACATTTTGTTACGTTACAGCCTTATTCTAAAATTGCTTAAATCGTTTTTTTCTCCTCATCAATCTACACACAATACCCCATAATGACAAAGCAAAAACAGGTTTTTAGAAATAAAAACTGAAATATTCTATTTACATAAGTATTCAGACCCTTTACTCAGTACTTTGTTGAAGCACCTTTGTCAGCGATTACTGCTTCGTGTCTTCTTGGGTATGACGCTAAAAGCTTGGCACACCTGTATTTGGGGAGTTTATCCCATTCTTCTCCGCAGATCCTCTCAAGCTCTGTCAGGTTGGATGGGCCACTCAAGTACATTCAGAGACTTGTCCCGAAGCCACTCCTGCGTTGCCTTGGCTGTGTGCTTAGGGTCATTGTCCTGTTGGAAGGTGAACCTTCGCCCCAGTCTGAGGTCCTGAGCGCTCTGGAGCAGGTTTTCATCAAGGATCTCTCTGTACTTTGCTCCATTCATCTTTCCCTCGATCCTGACTAGTCTCCCAGTCCCTGCCGCTGAAAAACATCCCCACAGCATGATGCTGCCACCACCATGCTTCACCGTAGGGATGGTGCCAGATTTCCTCCAGACGTGATGCTTGGCATTCATCCCAAAGAGTTCAATCTTGGTTTCATCAGACCAGAGAATCTTATTTCTCATGGTCTAAGAACCTTTAGTTGCCTTTTGGCAAACTCCAAGCGGGCTGTCATGTGCCTTTTACTGAGGACTAGCTTCCGTCTGTCCACTCTACCATAAAGGCTTGATTGGTGGAGTGCTGCAGAGATGGTTGTCCTTCTGGAAGGTTCTCCCATCTCCACAGAGGAACTCTGGAGCTCTGTCAGAGTGACCATCGGGTTCTTGGTCACCACCCTGTCCAAGGCCCTTCTCCCGATTGCTCAGTTTGGCCGAGCGGCCAGCTCTAGGAAGAGTCTTGGTGGTTCAAACTTCTTCCATTTAAGAATGATGGAGGCCATTGTGTTCTTGGGACCTTCAATGCTGCAGACATTTTTTGGTACCCTTCCCCAGATCTGTGCCTCGACACAATCCTGTCTCAGAGCTCTACGGACAATTCGTTCAACCTCATGGCTTGGTTTTTGCTCTGACATGCACTGTCAACTCTGGGACCTTATATAGACAGGTGTGTGTGCCTTTCCAAATCATGTCCAATGAATTGAATTTACCACAGGTGAACTCCAATCAAATTGTAGAAACACCTCAGAGATGATCAATGGAAACAGGATGCACCTGAGCTCAATTTCGAGTCTCATAGCAAAGGGTCTGAATACTTATGTAAATGAGGTATTTCTGTTTTACATTTTTTATAAATTTGCAAACATTTCTAAAAACCTATTTTCGCTTTGTCATTATGGGGTACTGTGTGTAGATTGATGAGGAAAATGTTTTATTTAATCAATTTTAGAATAAGGCTGTAACGTAACAAAATGTGGAAAAAGTCAAAGGTCTGAATACTTTCCGAATGCACTGTATACCCACTGATTTGGGTTTAGCCCATCTCAAGACAAGATCCCCAGGAGGACCTATGCCATCCTAGCATGTCTCATAGACTGAAGCGCTCAGCAGTTTGGTCAGCAATATAAAATCAAGGCCAAGAACTCCTGCTAATGAACATAGCTATAATGTTAGCATGGTTCCAGATCTGTTTGTGCTGTCTTGCCAACTACATTGCTGACATTGTCATTTGTCACGCCAAACAATGACACACCAGGGATGGAAATGGCAAGACAACACAAGATTGGTGACCAGGCTAATATACTGTATAAGCCTAATGTTGCTTGTCAAACCATTTGTGGTAAAAAGCAGATAACATGAAATGGCTGATGGGAAGCCGTGGAGCCATTTCAGAACTCATCATACTGTCCATGAGGATATCACACGGTCCACTAGGACAGTGGTTCCCAAACTTTTTCACTTGGGGACCCTCTTCCGTTATTGGGAAACAAAATCAATGTGCAAAAAAACCTAGCTAAAAAACATTAGCTGACATGGGTTAGTTGATCTGGACATTTCTGACAAGTTATAAATAGCTCTCTAAGGTCTGCAATGACTGACATGACAAGAGTAAAACTGCTGATACACTACCCAATTTGTGCATTCAGCCATTACAACTTCCAAGAGTAGGTTGAAAGCCTGGCTGAGTTCTGACCCCCCCCCCCCCCCCCCCCCACAGTTTGGGAACCACTGCACTAAGATATAAAGGATTGTGATATATGCATGAGAAAAAATATTAAAAGATTCTTGTGACCCGGCCACTGACTGTTTTGGGAGAGCCTGTTAACACCTGACAGCATTCCAGGACTGTTCACATGATCCTGGGAGAGAGACATAATTCAGGTTGAAGTTCCTGCACCTCTCCTGGGACCCCCTGACTGGGGCCAGGTTACCAGGACCACAGGGTCGTATGACAAACACAGGCACCTACTAACACACTTCAGCTCTATGATGGGTTAATCCCAATATTTTTTTCTTCATTTTTTTTTTGGGGGGGGGGGGGGGTTGTAAAATATTAATAAGTAAGTAAATTGCATATGGTTGACATACAAAGACAATACTTGTAGGTAAAAGCTCATCGCCATTTTTGACAAACATGGGCTCAACAGGGTTGAATGTCTTATATTTTAATTTAACCTACATATTTAGCCACCACATGGATATATGTCATAAAACTGTGTGGCAATAATCATACACTCATGCACAAATTAAACCTCCATTACACTTCCGTTACGTGGTTCTTTGGAGTGGATGTGTTGAACTTGACAGAAGGGTATTACAGTGGGAGGACCATTTGAGTTATTAGCTCCCAACAGCCTGTGTTGGTGTGCGACTCATTTAACCCTATTCAGGGACATGTCTCTCTCAGGAGGAGGAAGATGTGGGTAACTGGACACTGCCTCTAAATGTCACCGCTCAATTCCTCACAGCTGTCAACACATGACTCCCTGGGGCAGAACACGGCAGAACACACACTGAGTCCATCCACTCCAGTCCAAACTAACAGTGAACAAGCACTGTCACTCCTTTCACTAAACCAGGGATCATCAACTAGATTCAGCCACGGGACAATGTTTTCTTGAGGGGATGGTCAGTGAGCCAGAACATAATAAACAAATATTTGTAGTCTGCAAATTGATTGCAAGAAGCCCAAACAGATATAATATTTGACTAAAACGTAATCATTTCAAACCTTGCTTACATTTGTATACAATCACGTGTCCTGATTATGTGTGAAAATACTTAGGAAATTTTGGAAATCTGTTCCCAACTTTTTTACAGTATTTTATGTCCAACCCCCCCCCCAAAAAATAATATTATATATTCAGCTCTGGAAAAAATTAAGAGATCACTGCAAAAATATAACTTTCTCTGGTTTTACTATTTATAGGTATGTGTTTGGGTGAAATTAACATTTTTGTTTTATTCTATAAACTACTGACAACATTTCTCCCAATAAAAATATTGTAATTCCTCATGACAGGATCTTGATCTGGTGGTCCTCCATCCACACCTTGATTGACCTGGCTGTGTGGCATGGCGCATTGTCCTGCTGGAAAAACCAATCCTCAGATTTGGGGAACAATGTCAGAGCAAACGGAAGCAAGTTTTCTTCCAGGACAACCTTGTACGTGGCTTGAATCATGCGTCCTTCACAAAGACAAATCTGCCCGATTCCAGCCTTGCTGAAGCACCCCCAGATCATCACCGATCCTCCACCAAATTTCACAGTGGGTGCGAGACACTGTGGCTTGTAGGCCTCTCCAGGTCTCCGTCTAACCATTAGACGACCATGTGTTGGGCAAAGCTGAAAATTGGACTCATCAGAGAAGATGACCTTACTCCAGTCCTCTACGGTCCAATCCTTATGGTCTTTTGCAAACCTCAGCCTGGCTTTTCTTTGCTTCTCATTGATGAAGGGCTTTTTTCTTGCTTTGCACGACTTCAGCCGTGCCCCTAGGAGCCTGTTTCGAACCGTCCTCGCCGTGCACTTCACCCCAGCTGCTGTTTGCCATTCTTTTTGTAGGTCACTTGATGTCATCCTACGGTTGTTGAGTGACATTCGAATGAGTTGGCGGTCATCCCGGTCAGTAGAGAGTCGTTTTCGCCCTCTGCCGGTCTGTAGCTTTGTTGTCCCCAATGTCTGCTGCTTGACCTTGTTCTTATGAACCGCCGTCATTGAAATTTTAAGGATGGAAGCAGAGGGATACGCTCACTGTATCCCTCTGCCAGTAAAGCCAGAATTGAACACTTATTTTCCTCACTCAAAACTTTCCTTTTCAACTCTTTTGGCATGGTAATTCTTTTTTGATTAATATTACATTTGAGGTACTATTAGCACTGTTTTTGCCATCCAGCTGGTCCTATTGCAAGAGGATAGTGATGACCACAGCAGTGGTTTTTATACTTTTCCTTGTTAAATAAGATTTGGTTCAGGTGATCACCTAATCAGTACCTAATTCAGTAGAATGAGGTGTGCCTGTGTTGGAATTCAACAGACACTGGAATGGAATGGCTGTCATACATGTAGAGATGCTGATTTAAGAAATATTTGCAGTGGTCTCTTAATTTTTTCCAGAGCTGTATATATATATAAAATAAAACAATTGCTGAGAAAACCTGGAGGGGTAAATAAAAACAGCCGCCAGTTGGGGAACCCTGCACTAAACCATTAGCTGAACTTGCTGTCTGTGCAGTGTACATCATGCTCAATCTAGAACATTTGGAAACTATGTATCCACTTCAAGTCTACAAATGCTACTAATTTATCAAGGAAACTGTCCCTCTAACTTGCATTACAGATAGACTCTGATCAGTCCCTACACCCAAACGAGGACATTGCGTTCATCCACCTCTGGCCTGCTGGCTCCCCTTCCTCTGCGGAAGCACAGCTCCCCCTCAGCCCAGTCAAAACTGTTCGCTGCTCTGGCACCCCAATGGTGGAACAAGCTCCCTCACGACGCCAGGACAGCGGAGTCACTCACCACCTTCCGGAGACATTTGAAACCCCACCTCTTTAAGGAATACCTGGGATAGGCTAAAGTATTCCTTCTAACCCCCCCCCCCCCAAATTGTAAAGTGGTTATCCCACTGGCTATAGGGTGAACGCACCAATTTGTGAGTCGCTCTGGCTAAGAGCGTCTGCTAAATGACGTTAATGTGCCCTTGAGCAAGGCACTTAACCCTAATTGCTCCTGTGAGTCGCTCTGGTTAAGAGCGTCTGCTAAATGACTAAAATGTAAATGTAAAATAATAACATTTCTATGGTGGGGTTCTCACCTCTTCATACACCTCTCTGACTGCAGCTCCACACGGCTCCTCCTCAGGCTCCATCCCTCCTCCTGGTACAATCCACTGGTCCGGGTGCCGACTGCTGCTCACCAGCAACACCTGCAAAGGGTAAAATAAACCAATAATACTCAAATAGTGCTTCGTGGGACGAATCCGGCCCGCAAACCTCTAGTTTCTGGTCCAGGCAGATACTTAACTACACTACCTCACAGTCCAACAAAGGATGCATGAATTGAGGGATACATTTGATGTGTGGGAGTTTAAACATATTCAGAAGGATATTCAATTGAGGAGTACAGTGAAATGTTGATAGAAAATGCTTCTTTATTATCATATATTAACCAAAACATTGATCAGCAGTACAGCCTTCAGCCGCACCTGCCAAGGTGAGGTGGGTCCGTGACGGGCAAAGCTGCCATTGGAAGAACCCCCAGCTCAGCTCTGTGCCAATCACCAGGTCAGGTCTATAAACATGGGGCAATTCCACGGTAACGGAATTATTACACTCAGATTTTTCACTTTAAAATGAATGCCAAACAAAAAAACATTGATATCAAATGTTAACAAACCAACTCTATTTACTAGGACTACTTTGAACACAGTAAATTTCACAAAACGTTTACTGGAATATGTGCAGATGCAAAGTTTGGTAACAGATTTACGGTAAAATCTCCCTCAGTTTTTTATGTGACCATGTTTTCCAAAAACATTTAAATATCTGCTCCGAATTAGGATAAAAAAATGTCTGCAGAAATAATGGGGTGTCAGCTATGACATGACAACTTCAGTTTGAAAAAATCTCTTTTGGTTATTGAAATACAGTAAATGAAGTGGATTTACACCCCATAACAGAATTACGGTAACGGAATTACATCATGGGTCCCTGATCTGTACTACACAGAAATGCATAATTATGGATATGAATGTCATTCTCTTCAGATGTATCGTGAATAGGTACACAAGGGTAGAAATATGCAATATCATATTTTGCATATGGGTATTATTCTACACAATGGCTATTATTCTAATGAGCTCTGCCCCGAAACTAAACAAAATCTGAACCAATCATAGACGTCTATGTTTCACAAGTTTGGACATCACAGTACAGCACAGTAGAGTAAAGTACAGTACATCACAGTAGAGTAGAGTTCAGGACAGTAGAGTACAATATAGTACTCTATTATACTGAACTATATTTAACTGTACTGTACTGTACTGAACTATACTCTACTCTTCTTTACTTTTCTGTACTGTAATGTACTCCGTGCTTCACTGTACTGTACTGTCCAAATTTGTGAAACATAGACGTCTATGATTGGTTCAGATTTGGTCCGGTCACCAATCATGGACGTCTACGTTTGGGCCAAATCAAGGCCAGTCCGGACCAAAACTCAATGTCTGTGGATATTGAAATCAAGGATGACCAAATTTTAACTACTTTTCAATGTCCATGGACGTCTGGTGTCGGTCGGTGCGGATGCTGGTTACAGTAAATGGAAAAAGAGGGGCTCATGGGTAGGTGTCAGTAAGAGATAGGTAACATTAACGAGAGAGCGAGAGCGAGAGCGAGAGCGAGAGCGCGAGAGAGAGAGAGAGAGAGAGAGAGAGAGAGAGAGAGAGAGAGAGATCTCTCTCTTCCAACGACAATGGCCCTTTTCATGGCTTGTGTCACCCCAGGCCGACAGAGGTCAGCACCTCCGCCTTCAAAGGGCCGCCATCTGCAGGGTTCGTTATTGCAATGGGAACCCTCCCTACTCTACTGTAAGGGTGTTCACCCTATTCCCTATATCAGGGCTCTCCAACCCTGTCCCTAGAGATCTACCAACATTAACATTAACTAGAGAGAGAGAGAGAGAGAGAGAGAGAGAGAGAGAGAGAGAGAGAGAGAGATAAAAAAAACAGTTATGAGCTGAACATAACAGTATGCCAGTGGAAGGGAGGACAGTAGCAGGTGACCCAGCTGTGGTTTGTGGATACTATAATTTCACATTGTAGCCAATTCAATTGCAGTAATTCCGTTTCATTTGTAGCCAATTCATTATTTTTTACCCTTATTTTACTAGAACACATTCTCATTTAAAGCAACGACCTGGGGAATAGTTACAGGGGCGAGTAGGGGGGATGAATGAGCCAATTGGAAGCTGGGGATGATTAGGTGGCCATGATGGCATGACGGTCAGATTGGGAATTTAGCCAGGACACCGGGGTTAACACCCCTACTCTAAAGATACGTGCCATGGGATCTTTAGTGACCACAGAGAGTCAGGACACCCGTTTAACGTCCCATCCGAAAGATGGAAATGTCCCGAATCACTGCCCTGGGGCATTTTGTTTTCAAGATATAGGACCTTCAAAAAGCAACTTGTAACCACATCATCATGATGAAGCGTTTTGCACTATATGATGCACTGCAAATGCACTGCACTACAAATATTTTGGGATGCATCAACAGTGAAAAAAATACCTAAATATAGTTTTTGAGTGGATTATTCCTTTAAGGGAAACATACCAACACGTCTATGTTTAAAAACTGACCAGAGACAAGAAGAGGGAGAGAGACAGAGTGCCCTGATTTGCTTTCATGGAGGACTAGCTTGAATTGTGAGGATGACCACACAATTTATTTTCATCGTGAGTCAAATCTATTGGTTGTCTACCCAAAGTTGCAAAGGAAATGTTATGATATATTTAATAAACACAAGAGACCAGAAAAATATGATAAGTGTGACGGTATAGCAGGAACAGCGGCATCTAGTTGTCAACCAGATTCACAGCGAATACATTACATAGTATGGAGAAGCAATACTCCAAACCGCAGCTTCATACTACTTGTCAAACATAAAGAACTGATACTAGCGGTTAAGAGCGCTGGGCCAGTAACCGAAAGATCGCTGGTTTGAATCTCCAAGCCATTCACAGCGAATACATTACATAGTATGGAGAAGCAATACTCCAAACCGCAGCTTCATACTACTTGTCAAACATAAAGAACTGATATTAGCGGTTAAGAGCGCTGGGCCAGTAACCCGAAAGATCGCTGGTTTGAATCTCCAAGCCGATGAAAACATCAGCTCTACTGACCGTTGTAGACCATTGTCCAGAACTAATTAATTACCAGTTAAACAATAAAATCAAGGACCCAGGACAGGAGCAGTTGCTAAAATTATTGTACTACCTGCACCAATATTTAGCAAAAAGTGGGGCTGGGCTGGGGAGATTCTCAAGAGGACTTGCTAATGATAATGCCTTGACCTCTACGATAATGTCGCTGAAAGTCACCCCAGAGTTGCACAAAATTGAGAATTAGTCATTTGGAAAATTACACCATTATGGTAAGAAATGCTGTAGATTGGCTATTGATAACTTTACACAGTTTAACATGACCTCGTCATTTCTATCCCTAGATAACCATAGAATAACTCACAATCAGAATTACTAGGAGTTATCGGGCGACCAAAATAGACCCAGTGAACCTTGGACAGATGAAATTATGAATTAGCAAACTATAAAATTACAACCTAAAGGATCACATGGAGTTGCTGTTTATAGAGCGGGATTATTGAAATAAATACTTATCGTGCAACAGGATGTGTGACACTACCTTTCAGAATTGGCCACAGAAACAGAGGTTTCACCCACACTAACTCTGTATAAAACCCAGGAGACCAAGGGTGTTGTTGGAACATTGGCAGCAGACACTAGAAGAACAAACCCCAAAAGGCGAGAGAGAGAGCGAGAGAGAGAGGAGAGAAAGAGAGAGAGGAGAGGAGAAGAGAGAGAGGAGAAGGAGAGGGGAGAGAGAAGAGGAGAGAGAGAGAGAGAGGGGACGAGCGAGAAAAGAAGGAGAGAGAAAAGAATTTGGGGAGGAAAAGAGGAGAGGAGGAGAGAGAGAGAGGAGAGAAAAGCGAAAAGAGAGCCGGAGAGGGGAGCAGAGAGAGAAAGAGAAAAAAAGGAAAAAAGGGACAGAAAAAAGAAAGCCCCCCCCTCCCTCCCCCCTCCCCCCCCCCTCCCTCCCTAAAAGGGTTTTTCAAAAGTACTGGCCCGCAGTTTCCTTTCTGCCCTTGGGAAAAAACCCCCCAAAAACCGCTTAGCAAAAGCAGTGAATGACCCCGTCCTTTATCCAAACCACACCAGTGTTTAAGGGCCCGGGTTTTCATGAAGTTTTAAACAGTCCCCGTTTCATTTTGAGGCCCGGCATCCACTGATTTCGCTATGTTTTTAACCCTTTTTCAATTTTAACTGAAACAATTTGGGGGTTTTCAGCATTCAGGGCCCCGGCTTAAACCCAAACTTTCCTTTCTTATGTAAAAAAAGCTCAAAATTTGCAGGGGGGGATTTGGGTTTAAATTTAAATTCAAGGATTTTTACATGCCTTTTTTTTAATTACTGAAATAAAAGTGGGGTGTGACGTTTCTTTTGTAGTCAAATGGTTTTGCATCTTTTTTTACCAAAAAAATTTTCTCTGGTTTTTAAAAAAGTTTAAAATCCTTTGTGGGTTTTTTAAGGGACCCATTCTAATGAAAATGGCTCCTCAGATGCATGTTCTCAGAGAATACAGAGCTATGCAACTGAGGGGGAATTTCCTGTGTTCACACCTCTTCATTGTTGTTACTGTGAGTAATAAATGTATACACTCTTGTCACCCTGCCAACTACAAACACGGTGCAGCTAAGGTCTCCTACAATTAAAGGGATACTTGGGGATTTTGGCAATGAGGCCCTTTATCTACTTCCCCGGATGAACTAGTGGATACCATTTTTATGTATCTGTGTCCAGTATGAAGGAAGTTAGATGTAGTTTCAAGAGCCAATGCTAACAAGTGTTAGCACAATGACTGGAAGTCTACGGGTATCTGCTCCTTACAAGTAAGGAGAGGTTACAGAGGGAGAGCCGAGAGAGCCGAGAGAGCCGAGAGAGAGAGAGCGATGAGAGCCGAGAGAGCCGAGAGATGGGGAGAGGAGAAGGAGGAGAGAGAGAGGAGATGCGTGAGAGAGAGAGGAGAGAGGAGAGAGAGGAGAGATGGAGAGAGGAGAGAGAGAGAGCGAGAGAGAGAGGAGAGAGGAGAGAGAGAGAGAGAGAGAGAGAGAGAAAGAGAGAGATAGAGAGAGAGAGAGAGAGGTGGGAAAGTGTCTGACAGAATCTGACAGGGAACAGCTTGTGCCACTGCGCAGTGTTTCTATAAATTGCAGCTGACAGGTTACTGGGTATTTAGCACATAGTGTAACACTCATCCCTCAGCCCCCCTGGCTCTCCCAATCACATGCAGGCCTGAAAGACAGGGTCTTGTCCCCAGGCAGAGCAGTCATGATCCAAGATGCCCCCTCTCTTACCACTTCAGTCCCATGTTAAGTCCTAAACAGTGTGTGTGTGTACTGCATACATACAGTACAGTACAGTACAGGCTACCTTTGACAGTTTTTTGTGGTGCCTCAGCAAAGAGATCACATTAACACGTGTGGCAACACTCACATGGTACCGACCCTGCACAATATAACCAAAACAGCTGAGGCCTAGAGGGACCAGTATTAAATAGCCAACACCACCCTGACTGACTGCAAATACGTGATTTCATAATGGGCCAGTATTTATAGACAGAGGTAAGCTATCATATCATATTTTGGAGGCAAGTGATTATAGCTTGTTACCAATGCAATGAAACAGGACAAACCGCATACCAGCTTCAGAATGCAATTACAGTAGGTAGGCTTATTTGTTCCTCAATGGTCTAAAAAGGTTGTAGAATATATGCCCAAATACAGTAGCATAAGTATAACCCTGTTTCCAAATGGGCACAGATGTTTTTGTTTATTAAAACCATGCCCTGAGAAAGCATAGCTTATTCATGTCAATTAAACTTATGTTGACAAAAAAAAAAAGTATAGATGGCATCAAAGCATGCATTACTCTCTCTCTCTCTCTCTGTATCACTGGAAATGACATGACTGTGATAGATGTGGTAAAGAGGTCAATGGAACGCACACCGTTGGGGATAGAAGGACGCCGGATTGGCGCCCATTCAACAAATTTGATCGAACAAAGTGGATATTTGTTGAATCCGTCATGATTGTAACAGGCCCACAATGTGGTTACTAGTCCGATTTTGATATGTTTGGCTGTTTTCATTGCATAACATTTAGAAGTTGTGCCTTTTCAGGTTTAGAAGAAGTGACTGCTAAATGCTAACTCCCGTTCGTTTAAGCTGGTAGCCAGCATACAGAAATCGGTGGTGGTAGTCAAAGTCGTTTTTAACTGTAATGCAGTTGATTAGCTACAATGACATGAACATGTATTGGGGTTGGCATCCATACAAGCATTATGCTCCGATTTGTACCTCAAAATAGTGTGAAATAGACATATAAACAAAGGCTTAAATGTAGGCTAATTTTGCTGGGGGGCAATGAGGAGATTCAGGATCTTTCCCCCACGCAAAGCCACGGAAAGTAGGGGTGTTGAGGGTGCTGCAGCACCCCCTGAAAAATCAGAATAAATAAAAAACAGCAGAAAAATACATATTCACAAAAGTAGTGCACTGGGCCTTTACTACTCCTGTATTAGCTGCCCATACAGTGTCTGCAGCGCAGGGAGAAATGTTGTCTTTTAAAACCTTCATTCAGCCAAGAAATCAGTTTTTACAGGCTCCTGACCAATTGTGCTATTTTGTGTGTTTTCTTGCGCTGATCTGAACTTTTTTGGTACATAATGTTTCCGCCATTGTTTCCTATGACCGAAAAGAGCTTCTGGACATCAGAACAGCAATCACTTACCTCGATTTGGATGTGATTTCTACTTCAATGAGTTGGCGGCGAAGGACATACTGCACATCTCAGACCTGGCCCAAATCCCAGACACTCGAGGATATACCTGATGAGACTACGTCGGCGAGTGCATGAACCGCCTCTACCTTCCGTTCTATTAGTGTAATCCAGCGTTTCCCAAACTCGGTCCTGGGGACCCCAAGGGGTGCACGTTTTGGTTTTTGCCCTAGCACCTCACAACTAATTCAAATAAAATAAAAGCATTATGATGAGTTCATTATTTGAATAAGCTGTGTAGTGCTAGGGCAAAAACCAAAACATGCACCGCTTGAGGTCCTCAGAAAGGAGTTTAGGAAACACTGGAGTAAACTGGACGAGCTCCGTTTGAGACTAACCTATCAACGTGATCTGAAGAACTGCAATATCCTATGTTTCTCCAACTTGTAGCTAAACAAGGACTTTGAAAATATAAATCTAGCTGGTTTTTCTATCCATCGGCAGGTCAGAACGGCAGTGGCGGGTACACTCAAGGGGGGTGGTGTGTTTCTCTTTGTTTAATAAAAAGCATGAGCTGGCGCACACCCAGAGAAAATGATTTAGTGTAGAGGTGCTGACTAACGGGGAATAAACTGTAAGCTATATAAAACAAAGAGAGCCGCACACTGCATATGTATAACGTCCCAGTCATTTATTGGGTAAAAAAACAACGTTTCGGCATCACTGTGCCTTCTTCAGAAGAATGATGCCGAAACATTGGTGTTTCTTTACCCAATAAATTACTGGGAGGTTATACATATGCAGTGTGCGGCTCTCTTTGTGTTTCTCTTTTATTTTTAATTTTAGGGGGTAGATCAGCTTTAATACTGCAGATAGATTGTAACTTCCATCAATGTAATTGTCTGCATCACTTCCAATCCCCCATATGTTTTTTCCCCCAAAATATACAGTTGAAGTCATAAGTTTACATACACCTTAGCCAAATAAATTTAAACTCCGTTTTCACAATTCCTGACATTTAGTCATAGTAAAAATTCCTTGTCTTATGTCAGTTAGGATCACCACTTTATTTTAAGAATGTGAAATGTCAGAATAATAGTAGAGAGAATGATTTATTTCAGCTTTTATTTATTTCATCACATTCCCAGTGGGTCAGAAGTTTACATACACTCAATTAGTATTTGGTAGCATTGCCTTTAAATTGTTTAACTTGGGTCAAACGTTTCGGGTAGCCTTCCACAAGCTTTTGGGATGGTGTTTTACGGCTTGCAAGCAACCCCCTTTTTCCTCCAAACATAACGATGGTCATTATGGCCAAACAGTTCTATTTTTGTTTCATCAGACCAGAGGACAATTCTCCAAAAAGTACGATATTTGTCCCCATGTGCAGTTGCAAACAGTTGTCTGGATTTTTTATGGCGGTTTTGGAGCAGTGGCTTCTTCCTTGCTGAGCGGCCTTTCAGGTTATGTTGATATAGAACTTGTTTTACTGTGGATATAGATACTTTTATAGCTGTTTCCTCCCCTCCAGCATCTTCACAAGGTCCTTTGCTGTTGTTCTGGGATTGATTTGCACTTTTCGCACCAAAGTACATTCATCTCTAGGAGACAGAACGCGTCTCCTTCCTGAGCGGTATGACGGCTGCGTGGTCCCATGGTGTTTATAATTGCGTACTATTGTTTGTACAGATGAACGTGGTACCTTCAGGCGTTTGGAAATTGCTCCCAAGGATGAAGTAGACTTGTGGAGGTCTACAATTTTTTTTCTGAGGTCTTGGCTGATTTATTTTGATTTTCCCATGATGTCAAGCAAAGAGACACTGAGTTTGAAGGTAGGCCTTGAAATACATCCACAGGTACACCTCCAGTTGACTCAACTGATGTCAATTAGCCTATCAGAAGCTTCTAAAGCCATGACATCATTTTCTGGAATTTTCCAAGCTGTTTAAAGGCACAGTCAACTTAGTGAATGTAAACTTCTGACCCACTGGAATTGTGATACAGTGAATTATAAGTGAAATAATCTGTCTGTAAACAATTGTTGGAAAAATTAGTTGTGTCATGCACAAAGTAGATAGACTATAGTTTGTTAACAAGAAATTTGTGGAGTGCTTGAAAAACAAGTTTTAATGACTCCAACCTAAGTGTATGTAAACTTCCGACTTCAACTGTATCTCTTAACACCATCCATATTGTCATTTAGCAGACGCTCTTATCCAGAGCGACTTACAGTTAGTGCATACACACACACACACATGCACACACACACACACACACATATATATACACATACATTCATATATACACATACATCCATACACACACGTATCCTTTTTAAAATTATATTTCCCTTCATTACTTTCCAACCCCACCACTCCTTCCCCAATTGGAGTAAACTAGTGAACAACAACGCTTAGGACTCTACTTCCAGCCCATACATACTATATACATTTTATGGACACAGTCAAAATCTACAATAATTATATTTTGTTTGTTTTTACTCCTGAAGTTCCTTCGATCATTTTCATGATGTCCATCTGGTTTGCTTCTATAAGCCATATTTTTCTAACTGTGCTCTTTCACAAAAGCTCTCAACCTATAACCTATATACTTATTATGGACATAGTATGCTTTACATTAGTTATCTTGTTGTTATTAGTTGTTGTAATTAGTCCCATCCTTCAGCTCCATTCAACACCTCCCATCTATCTCTTAACACCATCCATATTGGACTTCTATTTGCCATTTATTTTTCAACTGTACTGTGATGTTTCACAAAAGTTCTGAACCCTTCTATTCTCATTGTTTCTGCAGATTGTATATTGAAAATAATTGTTTTGCTAAAAGTATTATTTTATTATTGATCGATTGACTATGACTTTTCAGATCACCCAGTAGTGCTATCTGCAGGGTCAGCTCCAGGTAAATATTGCAATCCTTCAGCCATTCCTGGACCTGTGACCAAAAACAAGCTACAAATGGACAGTATCTTTGTGTTTCTCTTTGTTAACAACAGCTGGTGCACAATCTCTAATATTAAGGAAGTCTCGAGGTTCTGATCGCCTAAGTTAGAATACCTCATGATAAGCTGTAGACCATACTATTTACCAGGAGAGTTTATCGATATTTTTCATAGCTGTCTATTTAACACCACAAACCGATGCTGGCACTAAGACCGCACTCAACAAGCTGTATAGGGCCATAAGCAAACAAGAAAAGGCGCTCCTAGTGGCCGGTGATTTTAATGCATGAAAACTTAAATCCATTTTACCTCATTTCTACCAGCTGTCACCTGTGCAACTGGAGGCTAAAAAAACTCTAGACCACCTTTACTCCACACACAGAGATGCATACAAAGCCCTCCCTCGCCTTTCTTTTGGCAAATCTGACCATAGCTCTATCCTCCTGATTCCTCCTTACAAGCAAAAACGAAAACAGGAAGTACCAGTGACATGCTCAATACGGAAGTGGTCCGATGAAGCGGATGCTAAGCTACAGGACTGTTTCGCTAGCACAGACTGGAATATGTTCTGGGATTCATCCGATTGCATTGAGGAGTTTACTACATCAGTCACCAGCTTCATTAATAAGTGCATCGACGACGTCGCCCCGACATTGACCGTACGTACATGTCCCAACCAGAAGCCATGGATTACAGGCAACATCCACACTGAGCTAAAGGCTAGAGCTGCCGCTTTCAAGGAGCGGGACACTAATCCGGACCCTTATTAGAAATCCCGCTACGCCCTCCGATGAACCATCAAACAGGCAAAGCGTCAATACAGGACTGAGATCGAATACTACTACACCGGCTCTGAAGCTCGTCAGATGTGTCAGGGCTTGCAAACTATCACGGATTACAAAGGGAAACCCAGCTGCGAGCTGCCCAATGACGTGAGCTCCCGAGTGGCGCAGTGGTCTAAGGCACTGCATCGCAGTGCTAGCTGTGCCACTAGAGATCCTGGTTCGAATCCAGGCTCTGCTGTAGCCGGCCGCAACCGGGAGACCAATGGGGCGGCGCACAATTCGTCCAGGGTAGGGGAGGGAATGGCCGGCAGGGAGGTAGCTCAGTTGGTAGAGCATGGCGTTTGCAACGCCAGGGTTGTGGGTTCGTTTCCCAAGGGGGGCCAGTATGAAAAAAAAAAAAAAAAAAAAGAATAATGTATGCTCTGGATAAGAGCGTCTGCTAAATGACGTAAATGTGAGCCTACCAGATGAGCTACAGTGCCTTCAGAAAGTATTCACATCCCTTGACTTTTTTTCAGATTTTGTTGTGGTACAGCCTGAATTTAAAATGGATTAAAATGAGATTTTATGTCACTTGCCTACACACAATATCCCATAATGTCAAAGTGGAATTATGTTTTTCGAAATGTTTTACTAATTAATGAAAAATGTAAAGCTGAAATGTCTTGAGTCAATAAGTATTCAACCTTTTTGTTATGGCAAGCCTTAATAAATTCAGGAGTAACAAGTCACATAATAAATTGCATGGTCTAACTGTGTGTAATAATAGTGTTGAACATGATTTTTGAATAACTACCTAATCTCTGTACTCTACACATACAATTATCTGTATGGTCCCTCAGTCAAGCAGTGAATTTCAAACACAGATTCAACCACATAGACCAAGGAGGTTTTCCAATGCCTCATAAAGAAGGGCATATTGGTAGATGGGTTTAAAAAAAAGCAGGCATTGAATACTCCCAGGGGTGTGAATACTTATGTAAATGAGATGTGTAGTTCATTTTCAATAAATGTGCAAGAATTTCTAAAAACATGTTTTGACCTTGCCATTATGTGGTATTGTGTGTAGATGGGTGTGGATTTTTTAAAATCAATTTTGAATTCAGGCTGTAACACAACAAATTGTGGAATAAATCAAGGGGTATATACTTTCTGAAGGCACTGTAAATTCCTTCTATGCTTGCTTCGAGGCAAGCAACACTGAACAATGCATGAGAACACCGTGTAGCTCAGTTGGTAGAGCATGGCGTTTGCAACGCCAGGGTTGTGGGTTCGATTCCCACGGGGGGGCCAGAATGAAAATGTATGCACTCACTAACTGTAAGTCGCTCTGGATAAGAGCGTCTGCTAAATGACTAAAATGTAAATGTAAACACCTCCCTCTGCAACTGGATCCTGGAATTCCTGACGAGCCGCCCCCAGGTGGTGAGGGTAGGCAACAACACATCCGCCACGCTGACTCTCAACATGGGTGCGTGCTTAGTTCCCTCCTGTACTCCCTGTTCACCCAGGACTGCGTGGCCACGCACAACTCCAACACCATCATTAAGTTTGCCGATGACACGACTGTGGTAGGCCGGATCACCGCAGACGATGAGACAGCCTATAGGGGGGTGGTCAGAGACCTGGCAGTGTGGTGCCAGGACAACAACCTCTCCCTCAACGTCATCAAGACAAAGGAGCTGATTGTGGACTATAGAAAACGGAGGGCTGAGCAACCCCCATTCACATCAACGGGGCTGTAGTGGAGCGGGTCGAGAGCTTCAAGTTCCTCAGTGTCCACATCACTAAGAACCTATCATGGTCCAAACACTCCAACACAGTTGTGAAAAGAGGGCACGACAATGCCTCTTCCCCCTCAGGAGGCTGAAAAGATTTGGCATGGGCCCTCAGATCCTCAAAATGGTATAGAGCTGCACCATTGAGAGCATCTTGACTGGCTGCATCACCGCTTGGTATGGCAACTGCTTAGCATCCGACCGTAAGGCAGTGTTGCCAACTCCTCAGTAAGGAAAGTAGCTATTGGCTGTCCTAAAAGTCGCTAAATGACATCATCACCTAATTTGCATAATTGGCCATGTGCATGTAATTGTGATGAACGCTGTAGGAGAGAGGAATAACATCGTGGGAGAGACAAAAAGTGAGTAAAAAACACCCTACATTTACATCCCGCCCTGAATGTAAGCCAGGGCGGGATCAGCCAGCGGCGGCTTCCCGCATGCACGATTCATTTGCAGTCTGGACGCGGAGGGGTGAACATCTCCTGCTCTGACTGCAGCTGGGAGGGACTGCTGCGCGAGGACTGCTCCCTGCCATCCAGGACCTGTATACCAGGCTGTGTCAGAAGAAGGCACTAAAAATGGTAAAAGACTCCATCCACCCAAGTCATAGACTGTTCTCTCTGCTATCATACGGCAAGCGGTACCAGAGCGCCAAGTCTGGGAACAAAAGGCTCCTGTACAGCTTCTACCCCCAAGCCATAAGACCGCTGAACAGTTAATCAAATGGCTACCCAGACTATTGCATTGACCCCCTTTGTTTGTTGCACTGACTCTATGCACACTCACGGGACTCTACCCACACATACTACAACACACAAAACACACACTCTCCATATATGCGGCTGCTATTCAGTTTATTATCTATCCTGATTGCCTAGTCACTTTTACCCCTATTATCTCAACTCTAAACAACCTCCTGGTGCGCATTGACTCGGTACCCCTTGTATAGAGCCTCGTTATTATTTTATTGTGTTACTATTTCCTGCATTGTTGGGAAAGGGCTCGTAAGTAAGCATTTCACCGTAGTCTACACCTGTTGTATTCGGCGCATGTGACAAATAAAATGTGATTTGACTTTGATTTGTCACAGAGGTAGACAAAATCCATTATATGTTAAGTTTTCTACTGAAGGTTTTCTAGGGATTTCAATACAAGAGCTGGAAGATAATAAAGAGACTGTTATAGGAACTTGTCATTTGAAATTGGTTAAATAGGCCATGTGTTCTTGTGATGAGTCAGTAATGTGAATATCTATCCCATGTTAATGGTCAGAAAACCAATGATCTCGAGTCTCGGCCTGGGACTCCATAAAAGCACGCCACTTAGATACAAGTTACTTTTTGTAAGAAGGTTAGGAGAGCATTTTCGCATACCGTAACTTTTCCTAACCTTCTACGTTAATTATCCTAACCGGCTTACGTTCTAAAGCGCTACAAAAAGTCGTAGATGTCTCGAAGTGCTGTGATTTTAGGGAGTCCCATCCATACCTCGTCCTCTTTTTCATTCTTGAAGCATAAACATGCCGCTCGTCTCTTGAAACCTTCACCATCATACGTCCTCGTCTGGTTGGGCTTAATCTTCATCATATATTTCCAATATTCTGCAATCTTCGTGCTCCAAGGAAATACGAAAGGTGGTGTGTATGGGGATCTAACCAGATCAAGTCAAGTGCCTTTACTAGGCCAAGAGAGCAGCAAGAAACCACGCACACAATATCTCCAAATAAATCTTCAGGCAATCCAATTTAAACGTTATTCATCCACAAGCATAGCATATCCCGGAGTGCTGATGATTCTGCCTAACATGCTGACTGGCTGGTTGCGGCTCTCTACACACATATTCCCTACGCCAAACCCCTGTGGTCCGCGAGCACCGCAAATTGCTGACCTCCCTACTGCGCCGTGGCCACCTATCAGCGCCATGCTACGATTAGATGTGGTTAATTCCATGTAACAATGTGATGACTCAGAATTGTCACTTTAAAGTATCAAACAAAAACCAAAGTTGCAAAGTCGTTATTGTGCATAGTTATGGTTTGTTTATCTTTGCAATCATTGTTTTTTGTCCTGAATACATTTTAATGTGACAAATCTGAGCCTAAGCATCACTTACCATGGAATTGTCCATTTCAATAACTAGGCGTTTCTCAAGCTGAAATGTAACGCACTCAGCTGTCAGTCTAGTTAAGGTAACTACGGTTAACTGTAGGTCTACTTCAAAGTTTAAAATCTAGCATAACTGGTTCTTCTTGGGCAAGTCAATTTCCTCATTTTGAGGTCCATAAGATAACAACACTGTACTCCTGCCTTCGAAGCGCCGAGACTGAATGCAGTGTTCACCACCAATTCATTTTACATTGTAGCCAGCTCAGTCAAATCCGCAACACTGTAACAAAAACTAGTATAAACCTTAACGTTACAATGCTGTCCCCTAGTGGTAAATCGAATAATGAGCCACCTTCCCTGTTACACAATAATTCGAAGCGTCCCTGCTGTTTTGGAGGTTATATGTAGAGAAAAATGTTAATATATTTTGAAGGTGTGAGCAAATTCAGTTCTTTGTATCACCATGAGGTGGCTGACTTTGACACTATCAATTGAAGAATAGACTAATAAATTCCGTAGTCAAAAAATCTAGGACCAGCGTGAAGATCAACAACGGTTACTCTTCTTTCTGAACTCATCCGAGGGCAGTCATGATTAAACTTCAATGTTCAGCAGTCATGCTTCACTGTTGAATCTGACCTATGTTGAGTTCATCAATGTACTCAATTCAACAACAGAATTGAGGATATACCATAAGTCCTAACCAGCTATCCTTACTTCCTCAAAAAACAAAGGCACACATTTTCTTATTAAATCAACAGATTTTATTTACAGAAAAAAAAAATATGCAGGTGGACTGTTTTCATACCATTTGGAGAGCAGGAAAATGTCCCCACCCAGTTCAATAGAAAGAATGAATTTACAAACAGTGAATTGAATACAGACTTTTCAAACCAAATACCAATATTGACAGTTGAGACAAAAGCCTTCATTGATCTCTTGGAGTTTGTTCCTGCAATCCCCCCATTCCCCCTCACCCCCTACCCATACCTCCCCCCAACCTCCTCCAGCACAATTACCCCAAACACACACTGCAGAACTTACAACTCATTATTATTTTCTGAAATGAATGCCATGGGGAGGAAGTCAATTGTTGTGTCTTGTAGAATTAGGTTGTGACAAACAGGAAGAACAAGAAGCTAAAAGAGCCATTTAGCCAGAGTCATTTGTAATAGTAGGGCGATGTCAGGAAAACATCCATATCAAATAAAAGGAGACACGAGAAAAACAATATTCCTAAAACAGAAGAAAGTTATGGAATTCCTGTCCCGCCTCCCCCACTGCCCTGCCTCCCCCACCTACAGGTCACAAGCCTACGTTTGGGTCTCTACACGGACAGCGGTTGCAACAGTTAAACGTGATGATGGTGGCAGGCTCAGATTCATTGTTTAGTCGTTATATCATTACTTTGTATTTCATGTTCAAGTGGTTTAGCAGGCGCTGTGTTGATGTTGTTTTGCGGCTAGGCCTTCTACAGGGGAATGAGTCCATCCATAGTCTGTCTCAAAGGGTGTGTCTACTACGTGGGCTAATCAGCGGATTTCAATAAACAACCAGCATCACAAGAGAAAACCAAGTTAAAAGAAAAGTTAAAAAAGGTTTGCCCATCTTGGACAAGAACCCCCACTGTCTCCCTACACCCTACCCCCTCAGAAAAAAACATGGGACAGACAAACACTTCGTTTTTTTATTTTCTGTACGAAGCTAGTTAAAAGCAGAGGTTGGCGGTTTCCTCCCAAATCAATGGAAAAAGAAAGCCAGGTGGTGAGTTAGATCTTAACCCTGGCTGCCCATGCAGCTGAACAGTAGTGAGTTATGACAAAGACAAGTCAAGTTTCTCTTATGTGCATTTAAAATCACAACATTTACTTGTCTTTTTCCTCCTTTTTAATATATTCCTTAAATGTTTATTTTATTATAATAATAGCTTTTTTTCTCTTCAAGACAGTGTCCTTTAAATGCAAATGAAGTAGGAAGAAGAAGAGGTCTTGGCAGAAATGAGGTGTGTGTGTTCACACTGACTTCCTGCTCGGTTTCTTTCCGCTTGTTTTGCGTTTTCTACACTTCTATGTTGTTTTGAGCGTAAAGCCTGGTCCATGTCCGGGCTGCAACACAAAATGAGGACGAGAGATGAGGTCAGAAAGCAAGACTAGGTCCATTATAATCTGTTCTAAAAAAACTAAATGCTGTGGTGACTGGTGAGTTAGCTAATTATTAGTCTTACGGTAGAATCCTTGAGGCTTCAAGTTGTAACTTTGTCACATTTGTACTTGCTTTGCATGATAGGCTACAGAGTGAAAAAGCTACAATATAACAATTAAATGTTTATCAAAGGAAGTCATGACTTCATTAGATGTAGCATCTAAAGTTACCAGCAAGATAGAGCATCTGCAACAATATGATTCAGTGTTGGATTGGCTGAATTGTAGGCTACATTTAGAGTCTGAGCTACAAGTAACATTTGAACAGGGTTGTGTTCATTGGGCACCACACAATAAAACAGACTGAAACAGGGAGGGATTACCCGGACTAGTCTAAAAATAATAGTTCATTTTCCCTTTCTGTTGCGAAACATTTTAACGTTTCCATTGCATGCCATAACGAACATGACCCAGGCAAGTGGGGGTGGTGAGGAGTGCACTGTGGAGGAGTTTACTGCTCAGAGCCGGAAAAGGCTATACGGATACTCCTGACCTGCAAAACTATATTTAATTTCAGAATTGGTTAAAATTAGGTTAAGGTAAGGGTCAGTTTTAGTTAGTCGTTTTGCAGGTCATGAGTGTCCTTATAGCCTCTCCCCTCAGAGCCGGGCTTCATCTAGACTTACCCGTCTCTATGGCTTGAGCTTCATTGGACTTCCACTGCTCTGCAACGTCATTCGCTAGAGGATCATCAGGGTTGGGAGCACTTAGTAATGCCTGGATTGATAGCAGGACTGTACGGATCTGCAAGGCTGGAGACCATTTATCTGTGAAGAGATTTGATAAGAACAAAAAAAGGACAAACGAGGGGGAGAAAGTGAGGGAGGCAGAAGGAGAGAGGTTTGAGCAATGTTTCTATTTTGAGTGATGTGGCAGTTAGTGGCATGTCGCAGAAATGGGGAGATGCGGTTTGAGTGAGAGGTCAAAAGTGTAATCGGAGAGGCCATTGATCTTTTGAGCGAGATTAAAAAGGCAAATCCCTCATAGTGCTCGCAGGCCAAACATGATTCTAACGCAATGGGGATATGGCAGGAAACAATGCCCAGGACTGTCCCACTAATGAGCCTGAACTCACTGACGTGTCTGACAGAGAAACAGAGCAGGTGCAGCAGTGTGAGACAGTTAAAGCTGTCCCATATCCCCAGTATCGGTTATCAGTCACCTGATAAGACTAACTGGATTGTACATAGATACTTTTGATGATAAAACAGGTCAAATATTAGGGTTGGGAATTGCCAGGGACCTCAGGATATGATATTATCATGATACTTTGGAGCTGATGTTCTATGTTTCAGATGTCTGCTGCAGAGGGACAAGAGGGAGCCATGAGAAAACCAATTTTAAATAAATAAAAGTGCTGAAAACAAATTGGCTCCCTATTTAAAAAGAAGGAGAACAAGCTATGAAGGTAAAATACTGCAGTTTTGGTGCAGGTACAGCCAACTAGCGTGAAAATAATATTGTGATATTGAAAATATCAAAAATGAATATCCTGATATTTAACTATCGATTTCCCCCCCCATCAATATCAAATATATCGTGATATTTCCAGAAAGGTAGACATCCCTAAATGTCAGACCTAGAATCAGATAACTTTGGTGGCCACTATTAAGAGGAGCCATTTCTATTTCTCAATCTCAACTCGTAAAGCGCACCTCCCATTCGGATGCGTTCTGATTCTCCACCCTTGTCCCAAAGTTTGTAGCCTGCCTACCGTTGACTATCAGCGTGTCACCCACCACTTTGCAATGTGAGCTTGAGGCAGTAAAATTGTTTGAAACCTGAACGTTTTACTTTACTTCAAATAATGAGGCATGTCTTACCTTGCTTCAAAGTAGCCTTGCGAAAATCCATCCATAGAAGGAAATTATTTTATTTATTTATTCCTTATGCCATTAACCAGCCTTTCACTCCTGTTCTATTGGTTTTCATATCAACTTTCTTTCGTTGTCCAGAAGCCAAAGGCACAATCCTAGTCATACTTGCAACCTATCAAAGTAGTTGCTATTAGATTCCCTCTCTTTCTAAGTTTCTAACAGAGATTTTAATATCTGTCACATATGGAACTGTTTGCATTAGGTGTGCTGTTTAGAACTGTTTTCCGCGAATTGCATTTTGGCAAATGTTTGAAAATTACATTTTATTAGCTGCTTCAGGAGTTGTATGTTCAATAATAGGCTATAGCCTTCTGACTGTAAGACGATAGGCTTGCTAACGCTGCATGTTTCCATTAAGCTCTTCATGAAAAATGTCCGGTCCTTGTATGCACGCATAGTATCAGAGAGGAAGAGACAAAGCGAGAGGTTTCACTCTCGCCAAAATCTGCCTAAAATAAGTCCAATGCGTTGCTATGGGCTTATTTTGGGCCTAAGCTTGTCGCCTGCTTTTCCTGCCTTGGGACGACTCCCATTGTTAGGGTGGAAACAAACATCTCGTCATTATATACAGATCTCTGATAGTATTTTCTGTTGGCCACTTCATTTTACTGTTTGTTGACCGGTTAATGAGGGTCAGTTAGGATACCGGGCTACCATGTTGGTGCAAAACGAAGTGTCAAGCGTTTCTTACCTTTCAAGATGTCTAGACATATTCTTCCCAGCTTGTCTACGTTGGGGTGGTATATTTTGGTCATAAAGCGTACTTTTGGAGCTGCCATGGGGTATTCCTCGGGGAGAAAGAGTTCAAGTTTAAACGTGCCACCTTCGAAGGGCGAGTCCTGGGGCCCGGCGATGACCACATGGAAGTAGCGGGCGTTCCCTTCGTCAGGCTCCGCCTTAATGCCTGGGACGGGCTCAGCCATCAAGCGCTGAGTCTCCTAACAAACACAAATGACAGACATACAAACAAGGTATGCCTCTATGCAAATATAGACACACAATCACAGTGAGGAAAGGTACAGTACAGTGAATGCGTTCTGATTCTCCACCCTTGTCCCAAAGTTTGTATTTGCATACTCCCTTTTAATGAGGAAACTGCCTCCAGCCAATGTCCTCTGTAGCTCAGTTGGTAGAGCATGGCACTAGCAACGCCAGAATAGTGGGTTTGATTCGCGGGACTACACGTATGCAAAATATGCACAACTAAATCGCTTAGGATAAAAGTGTCTTCTAAATGGCATATATTATTATTCTTATGTAATATTTCTACCAGTCCAATGGTTGGAAATCCATGACAGGGAGAAGGGTAGGGAATCGGGACGTAGCCAGTGACAATGGCGAAGGTGCATAAAGATATGCACCTTCTTTGAACAAATGCCCTGTTTGATAAGTTCGCCTTTTGTACATTGCTCTCAGTTACTGTTTTTTTTTGTATAGGCATTAGCACAGTATACATGATCCAAATTCTAGCTCCAAGATGGCGGCAATTTAAAAAAATGAAAAGGTAGATTTACTGGCACATTGAACCATGTCACGTGCCGTAGTTTAAGAACACTGTGGGTAGTGCTAAAAACAATGACATCATATCTGAATTCTTCCATCTTTATGCACCTTCGCCATTGTGTGATTTTTGAGTATTTGTCTAGACTAGAACAGAGAACTTAAGGTAGGCCTAGCCTATGTGAAAAGCAGCCTAAAGGCTCGGACACACCAATAGCGTTTGCCTGCCGAGAGTACATAGCACAGAGAGAATACTTAGCACCTCTGAACAGAGTGCTGGCCGTATGATAATGTCGGCAGCCAGACGTCAACAGTGCGCTGAACGATCAGTAGACGAACAGGAGATCCACTGCCCTTTACATGTCACTCCTGACACATGGCCTAGAGCCTGCCCTGACCCCTCTAGTAGTTCTTGAAACGCGTGCTGTTATCTGTGACAAATACCTCACTTTCACATAGCCTTAGCTTACTTTCAATATTTCAAAGGTTTCATTTCCCAGGAAGTGTATTGTAGTTTCTGTCTTAGCATGTAGGCTACCTGCCACAATGTTCATTCTGTGCTTTCCCATTATGAACCTATCAATATTGTGGTGGTAACCATGGTTCAAAAGACAAGTTTATGTTCCCTTGCCAACTCATCCCTAACAAAAGAGAATTTTAAAAAAATATCAGATTGTAGAGTTACCCTCTTTATCAGTGTTCGTACTGATCAATCTTTCAAAGACAACGCCTACAGCCCAAAAACATCTAGCCTAACAATTCTCCATCAGATGGATGGGAAAAACACAAGCACCATGTCCTGGTCCACGCCTCCAACTAGGCAGCTACCAGTGACTCACTACGCTTAGCCTAGTCACTTACAAAGGAGACCCGTTGCCAAGAGGTGCATTGTGGTCTACTTCTCCTTTCTCTCACACACACACACACACTAGGGTTGGGCGGTATCCACATTTTCAAACCGTTTCTGTACTATACCGGTATTACCAGAAGTGCACACAAGGGCCGCTATAAAAAGATAAAAAAATAAACAATACTTTTTCCCCCATTTATTTTATGCACAAAACAATTTAGGCAACAGGGATCTTAATCCAGGAGGGGATTGAATGTCTCTGCTGTAACCAAGATCTTGACATCTAGCCACTTAGATAGCAAGTTAGCAAACCAAGTGCATGTAGCTGGAGCCCTGAGCTGGATATAATTTATTTGACACATCTTAGATTTCTTATAGTTCTACTTAACTTAATCAGTGGCGTAGCACGCACCCCTGCAGCTCCCGCGAGGTGGGGGTGGCCCCAACTCCCAAAAAACTAAAATACCGTCGGTATTATGAAATACTCTGGTAGCTTAGTGGTTAAGAGCGTTGTGGCAGTAACCGAAAGGTCGCTGGTTCTAATCCCTGAGCCGACTAGGTGAAAAATCTGTCGATGTGCCCTTGAGCAAGGCACTTAATCCTAATTGCTCCTGTAAGTCGCTCTGGATAAGAGCGTCTGCTAAATGACTAAAATGTATACAGTATATCATCCAAACCTACACACACCCACCCCTCTGTAGCTGGCTGAAATAGCCCCTAAAGCAAAATATCAGGCAGCAATGTGCTAAGGGCTTTTGGAGGTGACACAGAGTCATATTCCTTATTATTAGGCACCATTCCGGAAGAAAACTGGCAGAAACAGGGAATGACTACCTGTATTTGCCCCCCCCCCCCCCCCAAAAAAAAAAATATGTTCATTTTTGGTTTTCAGTTACAAAACCTTCCAAAAAAATTATGTGGCGAGTCCTAAGGAATACGACCCAGGTGACAACTAGGGTTAACTTTCCCATCAACCACCGCAGCAGCAAAAGTACGTCATCAGGCTGTAGGCTGACAAGCTCATCGTGGCAGCCAAGTTTCCCGGGCTCAGGGCTGTGACCTGTAGAAACTCACACCCTTCAACGTGATGCAGCAAAAGGAATCTGATACGTCCTTATGGTATGCATGAGGCTGACTGGGTTACACACCTGAGCCAGAGAGAGGTGTGCAACACGGAGCCACTGAAGGAATACTGCAGGTGCAGCAATAACAATGGACTTTTACAGGCCTATTCCTCTTCACTCACCTATTGGCTTATTTTTCCCACAGCCTAAATAGAAGCCTAAAATACCAATAACAATCGTTAGAAATGTTCATTTCATATGAGTTTATATTTAATATAAGTGCATAATCCTAACAATCTTGAGCAGTCTTCAGACAACAAATAGCCTCTCTCTACCATGATGCTACAGGTCAGGCTGAATGACAACCCAGCTCAACAGACCAATGTAGCTTAATAAATCAACTCTGTTAGCCTAGATCTTTCTACAGGCAGCTTTGACAGAAAGACAACTAATAGAGGAACAAAAACAGTTGTCTAGCAGCAGCCACTGTTCCTGCTGCTGTTTTTTCTTTTCCCTGAATGCAACTCGGAGCGAGATTCCTGAAATGTTTCAGATAACCCACAGACAAAAACACGCAGTCCAAACACAGACAAGTGAGGGGCTCCCAGACCAGTCGCACGCTCACAGGGACTCACAAGGCCAAGCCCACTGGGAACAGTTCTCAGAACTTCTCCTTTTCCCACCACATCCAACCAATGTAACCATCATATGTGTTCCCTCTCTTACTCACCCCCCTCTCGCCACCTGTGCGATTGTCCCTCTCTCTGTTAACATAACAGCACTGATTCAATGACAACTCGCAATGACACAGGACATGAACTTGGAAACCACAGCTCAACATTACCTGTATGGGGGACATTGCTGTTGTTGGAGGGGCTCAAGATTGACATTTTGAAAAGAATCGTAGGATAGAGGCCGACTAGTAGCAACTTTCCTTTGAAGCCTGCAAATTTGCTGACTAACAAAGTATGCGTTTTATGGCTAAATAAACAAGCTACAAAGCATTCTGGAATCCAAATTGCCATCGGGTGATTCCTCACAAAACCAGGAAAAAAAAGAATACATTTTCACATTCAGTCTGTTGGTAATGCTATGAAATCAAAATACTACTCAAATTACAGAACAAACGGTAAAGCTTCATATGACACCAATATTTGCTTTGTAGAACGTATAGATAAAAAAAAAACTGGTCTTAAAAGGAGGCCGGGGTAAGGCCAAAATGGAATAAATATGCCAACTTTGATTAATTATTTCTAAATTATGCTTTTGGATACAAATGACAAATATATGTCAACAATCTTGATCCATTTTATGGATTAAATGTCTTGATAATGCCCAAAATGTATATATTTTTTTGTCCTGGTTTCGTGAGGAATCACCCAATGTAGCCTAGTCTGTTTCAGCTCAGAGAGCTATCAACTTGACTGGGGGATACTGAAAATAAGGCGCTGTGGTCTCCGGGCTGAGCAGCTGCTGGGCACAGATAGTTTCATGACATCATTGATCTGTGAATGAGTGAAGACAGTCAAACAAACTGCCCAAACCGGAAGGAAGGAGAGACCGGAGAACTAGGCTAAGCCTAGATGGAAGTGAGAGAACAAAACAATAACAATTCTAAACACACACAGCGATAGCGCAATAGCTCAAGCTCACTGGATGTAGCTAATAGTATGATGTTCACCTCTGCAGTTATGACAGACTGTAGCCTAGTACATCAATAATCTGGTAAGGTTCATCTGAGCACCAAGCAGGCAGAGAAAGCGTGACAAGCCTAGAGAAGAGACCTAGCTAGTACTACCAAGCAATGTTGTTACGCTGACTAATAGGATTACCAAGCCCTTCAAAACAAAAGCTGGGGTAAAATACCTGTGCCAATCTAAACTATCTGACCGGACCACTCATCTACACTACACTATTGTCACACAATAGCTGTGTGACAATTTCTCCAAAAGCACTGGGAATGTGCTGGGAGTAAGGGACCTACAGTGCCTTCAGAAAGTATTAATACCCCTTGACTTATTCCACATTTTTTTGTGTTAAAGCCTGAATTGAAAATGGATTCATAAATATATATTTTTTCCCCTCACCTACCTACACACAATACGACATAATGACAAAGTGGAAACATGTTTTTAGAAATCTTAGCAAATTTATTGAAAATGAAATACAGAAATCTAATTTACATAAGTATTCAAAACCCTTTGCTATGCCACTCCAAATTAAGCTCAGGTGCATCCAATTTATTTGGATCATCCTTGAGATGTTGTAAGTGGTAGATTATCAGACACTCAACAAGAAGGTCTGATTTAATTATGACTGAAACAGGATACAAGTGGGAAATAGAGATCCAGTCCATTAAAAAAATTGGAGGCCCCTTACACTTCAGTGTTGTGATGCAAAAATTCTAGCAAAATGTATAGCGCATAGAAGTAAAAAGGTATTGTAGGACATTATTCATTCTAATCAGACAGGTTTTTTACATGGACGATACATTGGAGATAATATAAGGCAAGTATTGGAAACA